GGGAGCGGGTGTTGGATAGGGGGCAGGGGTCCCAGGAGCGGGTGTTGGATAGGGGGCAGGGGTCCCGGGAGCGGGCGGGTTGGATGGGTTAGGGATTCTGAGGGGGGCAGTCAGGGGGTGGGAAGTGGGAGGGGTCAGATAGGGGGCAGGGGCCAGGCTGTTTGGGGAGCACAGCCTTCTTTACCCAGCCCTCCATACAGTTGCACAACCCCAATGTGGCCCTCAGGCCAAAACATTTGCCCACCCCTGCCCTAACTTAACTGACACCCAGCACTCATCACTGACTGCTATCTAAGGTTTTTAGCCAACAAGCCAGACTGAGTAGGCATGTAGGTTATATACTACTTTAGAGGTGGTTCTTCCAGGTCAGTGTATTTGTATTGTGGTATGGGAAACTTGCCTTATTTCTCTCCATAAAATGTTTGATTACTACCAGCACTAATTTTGGAACAAGTAATAGACGACTGTTCTTTGTTTTGTATTTTAGCCAGGAAGACCAAAAAACAGATCTTCGTCAGCTACAATCTTCAGAATACAGACAGCAGTTTCATATTACACATAGAGAACAGAATCAAGGAAGAAATGATGGCTTTTCCAGAGAAATTCTAACTTTGCATCATTGTAAGCTACTTTGTTACTTTTTTTTTTTTAAAGAAATAAACTGACTGGGTTTCCATATTGACAGACATTGAGTTAATATTTTGGTTTTTACAAAATTGTTTGGACCAAACTTGAATAGAACTTAAAGTTTGGAAGAAATACATTTTTTGAGTTCCTCTGCTGTGTTAGAGACGGGGTCTGTGGGATATGGGGAGGAATGTTGTGAGTTAAGCAAGATATTGTAAACTTGTGTATGCATGGAGCTTGACCTACCTGGAAATTGTAATCAGGGGATGGTCTCTGGATTTTAGTTGCACATGTAACATACTATGTATCCTAATTAGAGCAAGAGAAAACAAATCTCTTCTAGTGCTTCTGTGAAAGCCTGGCATGCTGTTGTGAAAAATCAGCAAATTAAATAAAAGGAAGTACATTGATGTCACTTTCATAGTGGGAGAATGGCAGGAATTTGTTTTCCAAAGGGGAAGGAATTTTCCACTGAAAAGGAAAAAAAAATGTTTGGTCCTAAAGTGTGCTTTCTTACTCAGTATATATGCACTGTGTAACCAGTCTTGGCTGCTGCTGTTAGTGATGTTTTCCTGTTAGTCGTGCAGCGCCAACACAGTTTGCAGGATTCTGTTCCAGCTTGTTCCATCAACAGATTAACTAAAGGCATAGTTTGGATTATAAAACTGTTACGATTGCTGCTGATAATGCAGGTGCAGGAAAGCACTTTCAGAGTCTAGGCGGAGTTGGTTGGGCTGGTAGGTACAGAGGCCTATCTTACATGTAAATTGAGCACATTTGATGAAGAAATCAGTTAGACACAATAGCCATGGATCACCACACTACCACTTTTACACTCTTCAGAGTAATACCCTTCAAAAGTGAAGAGCTAAACAGAGGAAAATACAGGGGGGTAGTTTGAGATTAAGGGCACTGGAATAAGTAACTCTACACAGGCATTTGTAAGGGACCAGTAGAAACCTGGTGCCTGTAGAGAGGAGTCTTTATTCCCAGTGATTGTTGTTAATATGCTGAATGGACTGGAAATTAGGATATTTTCCTCTTTCCCTTCACTGAGCCCTTGAGGGCTTATGTTATTTCTCAAAGCTTAAATAACAGTTTCAGATCCTTAAGTGAAAGATGCTATACATGTGCAAGCTATTATTATTAAAAGGGAGTTTTCTGAAATAGTGTATGAGAATCTTATCTAAAAAAGCCTGAGGGTTTAAGTTCTAGTAGCACAAAGGCAGAATTGTCTCACGATTAAACAGGGGGGCACTAAAGGTCAGGAGACACTAATTCTATTTTCATCCAACCCCTGACTTGCTCTGTGACAATGAGGAAGTTGCATAACCTGTTTCCCCATCTGTAAAGTAACAGACCTCACACTGGAGGGCATGGAAAGTCTCCACTGCACGTATAAAATATTATTAATGCTGCTATAGTAGCTCACTGGAAACAAAGAAGCTGGCAGGCTCCAGAAAAGCCATCTCAGCCTAGTTTCTTATGGCTTCATGGTCACTAGTTAAAAAGTAGATATAGCAAATAATGCTTCTTTCGAGAATGCAACTTCAGCCTCTGGTTACATCTAGTCTCTGCTCTGCGTTGTTTTGATAAATTATAATCCATAATATCTGTTGCCAGCCCCTGTTTCTACAATAAGAGTATAAAGGTAAGGACCAACACCTCTACTTTCACCTGGCCTCGGTTGAACCCAGGGAATTACAGACCAGTCATCTTAACTTCAGTATCTGGAAAGATAATGGAACAAGATAATAAGGTGATAAGTAACTGCATCGAGAACAAATTATGTCAAACCAACCTAATAGCTTGTCAAAGAAAGCTAACAAGCCTTGTGGATAGGGGGAAGTGGTAGATGTAGATCTTGATTTTCGTAAGACTTTTGATACTGTCTCACATGACCTTTTCATAAACGAACTAGGGAAATACAGCCTAGCTGGAGCTACTATAAGGTGGGTGTATAACTGCTTGGAAAACTATTCCCAGAGAGTAGTTATGAGTAGCTCACAGTCTAGCTGGAAGGACATATTGAGTGGGGTGGTCAGCTTCTGTTCAATATTTCATCAATGATTTAGATAATGGCTTCAAGAGTACACGTATAAAGTTTGTGGACAATACCAAACTGGGAGGGGTTGCAAGGGCTTTGGAGGATAGGATTAGAATTCAAAATGATCTGGACAAACTAGAGAAATAGTCTGAAGTAAAGAGGATGAAATTCAATGAGGACAAATGCAAAGTGCTCCACTTAGGAAGGAACAATCAGTTGCACACATACAAAATGGGAAATGACTGCCTAGGAAAGGGATCTGGAGATTACAGTGGATCACAAGCTAATTATGAGTCAGCTGTGAGTAACACTTGCGCAAAAAACCAAAAGCTGTGTTAATTCAGAGCTAAGGTTGAGATTTTATTGACAATCTTGGAAACGGAGTTCAGATCGGCAGCCTTAACTCTCCTGTTGTGTATGTATGCGCTATGCTAGGTGGTCTCATTCCCTGGTCACCATTCACCACCTGTTTCTCTCAGCAATGCATTTTAGATAGAACCGTTCAAACTCCAACTTCATCAAGCATTGTTTTGCTGGCTACACAGCATGTGAATTCTGCTCAGGAGCATATACTCTAATGGTTAAATTATGATAATTAGCCAGAGTTGGAGTCAATATGATTTAACTAATTGTATGACAGTAGCACCACCTTGTGGCCCCAACTGAGTGTAGGACCCATGGCACTATACACACACACACACAATCACAGACAGCCTGTACCTCAGACCTTAAAAATCTTCAATAGACAAGACAAAAGGTCAGAGGGATGAAATGATTTGCAAGATGTCAGACAGCAGGTCAGTGTCAAAGCCAGGAACAGAACCCACATCTCCTGACTCCCAGTCCTGTGCCCTAACCACTGGCGTGTACTGCCTCACAGTGGCATAGTATGGAGCCAGCACCGCCCCAGGGGAGCTCAGAGAGATTGTCTCTCATATGGTACTTTCCCTTCTTAGCGCACCCGCACCCTCGCCCTCCTCCCCCCCCAGGTTCAGGTAGGAGCATGGATGCTGAAGCATCCCTTTGGATAGTGCAAGGTGCTCCCTGGCTAGTTGAGGAAGGTTGGACCACCCCAGCCTCTCTGGAACAACGTGTGGCCCTGCAGAGAGCGGTCCTTGTGTTCCTACAAGTGCAGAGACTGCGGTTGTCCCTGGGTCTTGTGCAATATGCACAACAGATGTGGCAAGGCTCCTTTTTCTCTGGTCCTATTGGGGGAAAGGATAAATAGGGCCCTAATGCTACATAAATACAGCATGAGTCTACATGTAAGCTGTGTCTCAGTTTCACTCAGCAGAACATTCATGACAATTTGGGTCATGGTGTCAACCTCACTTGCCTCAGGCAAGTGAGAAGGATGAGTTGCTGTTTTCCTTGCCAGGAAACGGCAATAATATACTGAGGGAATCAGGCAATATAGGCATCGGAAAACTAAACGAAATGTACTAAATTAGCTTTCCTGATGTGAAAGCAGCAGCTCCCAGCCTCTGTGAAATCAGGGTGAATGAATGCCTGCATCAATAGTTAGGTGACAATGCAATCACCAATCAAGGTTCCCCAAGCCTCATAGCATATGTCAGTGATACTAAAGCCAAAGCTGTCAAACTGTATGTGGTCTTCATCTTCCTAAAGCCAGCTGGCTTCTCAGGTTTGACTAAGGCACTGGATGACATCTCAAAACACAGACACACAGAGTCAGCTGGCCTGACCTCTGGGTTAGTAGCCAACTAAGGTAAACAATATTATTGCCTTGCTATTTTAGCCAAATTCAGTAGGAGTGGGGAGAACAACCTAGGTTGGGCTCCTTTTGGATCAAGACTTGTCTAAAATTATGAAGGCAGAAAATGTTACTTACTATATACAGCTAGATCCCAGAAATAACCTATTGTAAAAGGATGCTTTGTCTATCCCCAACTCAAGTCAATACTGTTTGGCAATCTTCTTTTCAAGGTTCCTTCCACGTGGACTCTAGAACCCAGAAGAGATCAATTTTATTAGCAATAGTAAGATTACAGTAGAGCATAGAGGCACTGTGCAAAGAGATAGTAAGAAACAGTCCTCTGTCCTGAAGAGCTTACAGTCTTAACCAGGGATAGGCAACCTGCGGCACGCGAGCTGATTTTCAGTGGCACTCACACTGCCCAAGTCCTGGCCACCGGTCCGGGGGGCTCTGCATTTTAAATTTAATTTTAAATGAAGCTTCTTAAACATTTTAAAAACCTTATTTACTTTACATACAACAATAGTTTATTAAATATTATAGACTTACAGAAAGAGACCTAAAAACATTCAAATGTATTACTGGCACACGAAACCTTAAATTAGAGTGAATAAATGAAGACTTGGCACAGCACTTCTGAAAGGTTGCTGACCCCTGGTCTAAACAGACAAGACAGACGAAGGGTGGGAGGAGAAACAGGCACAGATGAGTGAAATGACTTGCCTGAGGTTGCGCAGCGAATCAGAAATAGAATCTTGGTCTTCGGAGTCCCAGGCCCATGGATCATGCTGAGTCTTTTCTGCAAATGGAACTTGTAGTTGAGCAGCAGAACTACTTCAGCTGCAACATATCCTCTTCTTTGAAGTACAACCTTAAGGCGGCAACTGGTGGCTGAAGTACCCTTAGAGAATCTGTATTTGTTTTTGTTTTTTAAATAAAAAGGGTTAGTGCTGTTATGGGAGGTTTTAAAAATTTCATTCAACTTCTTCAGTAGCTGGGGTATTTTTGAAAGCACAGCTTGAACACTTATCGCACTGAAGGCAAGAAAGACATTCAAAAGGAAGTATGCTAATGGGGCAACACCTTTTTATTTCTGTACATTTACATACAAAGTTTTTCAGTAGGTACAACAGATGTAACATCATGCAGACATTTAGCTTGTAAGACTGTTTTCAGTACTTGATTTAAGCTTGTGCTATGAATAAGCACCACCAGACTACTCATGATCAAAACATACAGTAACACGATTCTTTAATAAAACTTCATCAGAAACTGAGGGGAGGGAGGGAAGTCTCATCCACTAGACAAACACACTGTACTCCTTTCCCAAGACATTTCACACAATACAATTAAAATGAGGATTAATTTTTTTTAAGTTAAAGTGTGGGAGATCAACCCGCACTTAAGCGTTGTCTTTATGTGCTAGCTACAGGTGCAATTTGACTTGACATTCACAGAGTTCATTTAATGGCACTTCTGCTTCCAATTTGGTGATCTTTAGCATTCGGCTCCAGGAATTGGCATCATTTAAGAAAAATACTTCCATGTTAAAACAAAGCAAAACCGAAACAAAACAAAAAAACCCTGCTTAACCAAAACAACATTTTTCAAAAGTGGCAAAGAGATTACACGGTTTTCCTGGTCTTATCTA